AGGGCTTGAACTCTGGGAGTGGGCACTATCCCTCAGCAATTCAGCTCAAGGCGAGCACTCTACCACTTGAGTCACATGCCAATTCCGGTTTTCTGAGAGTCAAAGGGTGTCCTGCCCAGGATTGGCTTTGAACCTCGATCCTCAGATCTCAGCCTCCTGGGTAGCTAGGATTACAGGTGTTAGCCCGGCTTTTTCTAGGCATTTTATGGGCTACTATCATAATCAGCCTGTGTCCTCATTCACTCAACTATACTATCTGAAAGTAACTTAAGGAATTCTGTCCCAAGACAACAGTTATCAGTAGCTCTTAAGGTGTGATGATAAGGTCCAGACAGATGCCATGTTTGAGCTAAAATATCTCATTCTAGCAGAATGGGATAAGCTGGAGGGAGAGAGAAAATAACTGGAAACATGTGAAAGCATTCCTCCAAGGCACCATCAGAAGCCAGGAGTGTAGTCATTGGCTATGACAGATAAAAGACATTGGATGTAAATAAACTTTAGGTAATATAAACAGTCTGATCTATCTCAGAATGTTTATCATGTCTTCAGATATGAGGCAGTGAAGAATGGCAACATGTTTCTCACACCTCCATTTCTTCATCAGTAAAGCTACATAAAGGGAGCTGGGAGCAGGGGTGCAGGCCTAGAGTCCCAGGTACTGGGAAGACCGAGGTTATGAGAATCACTTGAGTCAACTACATCAGGATCCTCCTGGGAAATGCAGAGAGAGGCCAATCTCTAAATTGAGTATGCAAATAAAGAAGTATACAGTAAAGATTCTAGTACTTGACCTCCACAACATGCTTCAATTCTATAAGCAACTATTCACTTACTGGACAATGGAGGCAACACAAGTGGGACTACTTTCTAGTCTTTGCAAGCTGTCAGCTCTGCTGCACCTGGACAACTGGCTGTGGCCATTGGGGCTTTCTCTGTTGTCACCCTTGTATACAGTGGACACAGCCTGAAGTCTCCTTCTCATAGGTTTCTCATGACTTACATCTGTCCTGGGTCTCTAGGTGCACAGTCATTTGCATATACTGCTCCTCTTCTTGCTCTGCCACAGTAGCAGACACCAGGAAATGCTTACCCAAGAAGGATACCAGCCAGGTCAGGCGAGAGATGCCACTAAATGCAGGAAAGCCAAACTGCTCTTCTTCCATTGGCCAGCTGTGGGCAATCACAAATGCTGTGAGGACTAGGAAGAAGAGAATGCCTGACAAAAAGCAGGACCCAGGTACATGGGAGAGCACAAGGACACAGGGAATTTGCCTTACCAGGCAGCCAAATGTAGCCTCAAATAAGAAAGCCTCTTGTAGGTTTGAACTTCAATTTTGCTAGTAAAATGAGACATGCTACTGGCAAGAGCACACAATTCAGCTAAACAGTATGATGAAAAGATCTAGGCTTTAAATATAGGAAGTTTACATGTATTTAGGTAGACAGCCACCCTCCCCCTCAAAAAAAAAAACGCCTCTACAATAAATGATTTAAAGTCACCCACCATCCAGGCACAGTAGAGCAAACCGTAATACAAGCTACTTGGGACATGGACACTGGAGGAGTGTGGTTCAAGACCAGCTGTCTGGACAAAAGTTACTGAGGTTCTATATCAAAGTCTATATCAAAGTATAAGGGCCTGTGGTCCCAGTACTCACAGGCAGGACTAGGAAGGTCACTGACTGAATCTGGCACCGGGTAAATGTTCAGGACCCTCTGACAAACAAACTAAAGCCAAAGGTGCTGAGGCATAGCTCATGTGTAGCAGGTAGAGAGTCCTGAGTTATTTGCCACTGCCACCAATAAAGTTAAAGTCTTCTGGCAAGAGGAGAACAACCATGGTCTGCTAAGCTCCTGAAACCCAGATTCTTATCAACTCCATGTGAAATGGCGCACATCATGAAAATGGAAATAGAGAAAACAGCAACACTGGTCAGCTAGTTCAAGAGCATCAAGTTGATGCAGTGCTAAATATTCCCTTCTCTCTTCACAAAACCACACTCTGGAGAGTGTATGCACTAGAATTTCTGCCTGATTATGAAACTGACTGCTCATCTTCGTCGTTAGCCCAAATCTTAAACAAAACCTAAACTTAAGACTTCATATATGTTATATTAAATTTGTCAATCATTTCTCATGATTCTGACATTAACACTTAAAACAATGAGCATGTTCTAGAGAATGACATATACAAGTTGTAGCTGGGTGCTGGCAGCTCATGTCTAGAATCAGCTACTTGGGAGACTGCAATCTGGAATCATGGTGTGAAGTCCATTGGGTCAGGAAAGTCTGTGACACTCATGTTCATGAACCACAGAAAGCCAGAAATGGAGCTGTGGCACATGGTGGAGTGCTAGCCCTGTGAGGAAAAGCTAAGGGAGAGCACACAGACCCTGAGTTCAAGCCCCAGCCTTGACACACAGAAAAATTCTAAGGAAGCACACATAAAAATTCATGGAGGCACTAGGACCTAAATGAAGCATCAAACTTAGAAGCAAAATCAGCTCCCTCCAGGCTGCTCACCATCTCCTGAAGTCCATCTCCTCTGAACACCTTACACAACAGCTCCTACCACCTCCTGCCACAAACTGAATCTAACCTGGTTCTGTCACATGACTGGTGTGTGAGCTCAATGCCTGTGAACTTCTATTGCTTTACCTGTTCTGAGGGGAAGAATTACCAACTTTACATGGCTATTATGTGAGTTTCTAACACATATTGTTATCCTTCTTGTCATAAGTCTCCTACATCATTTTCAAGCATCAGGACAATGAGGCTCCATTGTTTTGAAACTCATGAGGAGATAAAGCATCTTATCACCCATTGAAGTCCAGGATCCTAAAGATCTTCCTTCTCTATTAAAAGCCACTCAGATGGTCCTGATACCCATATAAGCATCCATCCAACCACAGGAGCAGGTATCTCTAACAGGGTCCTTTTCTACTGTTCTTGCTCAAAGAATGACTACCATACAATAAATGATCCAATGTACAATACATGAAATACTGTGCACTTAGCCAATGTTCCTCTAACTTCCCGGACAAGGAAAGGAGCTGAGTGTTCAATGAGTCTGCGGACTAAAACTGACCTGTGAAGAGAAGGGACCCTTTGAGCAGTTCTTTCCCCAGCACTTCTCTTTGCAGGATTGCAAATTCCTCCATCAAGAGTTCTCTGTGTTCTTCCTGTATGACTTTTCCTGTCATGACAAAAATCGGGTACACAAGCCAGTTTGGAGTACTGGGTACAGGTACACAGCTTGAGAGGCTGTGTCAGCCTCAGGACAGGACAGGACACGTGTCCCTTACAACTATTTCTCTTAGGAAGGTCCCAGTGTCTCACTACTGTAATCCAAGCTACTCTGTAGGCTGCGATCCTTGGACCAGCACAGAAACAAGTACTATCCTGGCCAGGTGTCTAGGCTCTCCTCATACCTCCTCCCACGTGCCAGCTGAAGGAGACTCCAGGTGGAAGCTCAAAACAAATAAAACTCTAAGAAAGCACGACGGTAGCCACCTGTCTCCAAAGACATCATGAAACTTCAGAAGTGTCTGAGAGCCCACAAGGCGTTAAACTGGGTTCTGGAAAGGATTCAGTTACATACACACACACACACACACACACATGCACGCACGCACGCGCGCGCGCGCACATCTATGATCTGAACAGGAAGGAGTTAGACAAACTAGAGGAAGGGAGAGAATGTGTGACTCAATTAAAACTGAAGGAACCATGATTTATCAAATGATCGTGTCTTCAGGATCACCGAGAAACATTTATAATTCAAATCTTCAGTTGTACAAGTAAGATGTTAACAGTTTTTGATGTGTGGTGGAATTTTCATATCAAGGTGTGATGTTTCCCTGTATGTAAAACAAACAGGCTCACAGGTTGTTTGAGTTTCACAAATTATCTAGAATAAAATAGAACACAGAGCCAGGCACCAGTGGCTCACAACTACAATTCTAGCTACTCAGGAAGCTGAGATCTGAAGATCAAGGTTCAAAGTCAGCCCAGATAGTAAAGCCCAGGTAGTATAGTTGTGTCCAATTAACTACTAAAAATAGTCAGAAGTGGAGCTGTGGCTCCAGTGGTAGAGTGCTAGCCTTGAGAAAAGAAGCTCAGAGATAGTGCCTTCCCCCTGAGTTCAAGCCACAGGAATGGCACAAAAAGAAAAAAGAATCACAATGCTACTCTGTTCACAATGTGTTCTTTTATTTCACATCTTTGGAAAAGTATCAAGCAATCACACTTGCCTGTGTGTTGGGGAAACGGGAATCATATGGGACAGGCCCCCTGGGACTCAATGTCAGGCTCCTTCACTGGAATTAGGGAGTCAGGAAGATACAGTTATTGGTGTGATGGTAGTGAAAACACAAGACTGGCTGAATCACAGCCCTATAATGTCTTGCAATACCAGAAGCTTTACAAAGGACGAGCAAGTGTCCAAAGGCCCTCCAGGGCCAGTACACGTTACTCCATACTACGACATCATGACCTAGCTGGTCCCAACAGCTGGCCTCTGGGAGGCTGCACTCAAGAGGGCTAACCTCCAGAGCATCAGGCAAAATGTGCTAGGGAACCCATCCCTATAAGGACAAGGCCAATACTTACTGCTCCTTATCAGTCATTCCCAGTTGACTGCAGCCACAGGCAGAAGCAGGAAAGGCAGTGCCAGCTGCAGAGATGAGATACCTCTTGGCCTCAGAAGTATTTGCAGCCTGCGATGAGGACCCTGTAAGCCACGTATTGCATTAGAGTCGGTTCCATCATTTGACCTCCCTCCCTGAGATCTAGATCCTGGGTCAAGCACATTGAAGCTCACAAATATGGTAAACAATCTTGTTCTTGGGGTGAAAAACACTGATGGCCAGGGGGAAATCTGTGCTGTTGAAGTTTCATCATTTTCTCTCCTTGTAATTTTCCACCTTTGCTGCCTGTACCCAACACTTCTACTACTGGACGAGATGGTGAACTCAGTAGGCTAGAACAACAAGGGGCAGAGGAA